GTCCCCGCCCCCGCCCCAGAAATTATGGCCAGCGCGGCCGGCTGGACTCCAGAGCCCCACTCGGGTGGGTTCTTTTGTTTCTTTGTTTTAACGACAGTTCCCAGCCCTCCGGCATGCATGCGCGATTAATTCCCTGGCTCTCTTGAAGGCAGCTGGGGTGAAATTTCTTCTGCATCATCCTTTTGGGGATAATTGTTTATGATGTGACGTCAGCCGGATTGATTTTTCTCTCTTGAATGAGACAGAGAGACTCACAGATGTGTGCGGAGGCCAGGGACGCTGACATTTGGAATTCCTTCAGGGCAAAAGGAGATGGGAATGGGCGCTTAAAAGTGTGAGGCTAAGACTTCAGGCTGCAAGGAATTATTAGGAAGTTCTAAAAAAAAAAATCCCCTGCGCAGCGAGCCGCTTAGGTGCTCCTTTCCCGCAGAGTCCCCTGTGAAGGTGGCAGCGTCTGATAATTAATCTCGGGTACCCAGCCGCTGCAATAGGCTTAAGAAGATGAAGAGGAGGGGCGGGGGAAGTGCGTCACCAGGTGGGGAAGGGGCTGTGCGTTTGGTGACAGGCGGGAGGGGCTGGGGGTGGAGGGGAATGGGGACGGGAAATAGGTTCTGTGCGCTCTCCGCGGGTATTGTGTCAGGAGATGCAGGCCGGCTACCATGTGACGCGGTCCAGAGCTGAAGGGATTGGCCGAGGCAGCGCAGGCGGTGCAGCTCGGCCGGCTCGCGGCTCCTCTCCCTTTCTCTCGCAGCATCTTCCTGGGAGCCTGTAGGTGAAGCAGCACCAGCAGCATCCATGGCCTATCTTTGGGGTTAACACTGGTCTCCTTTGGCTTTAGCAGTGGACAGAGCAGATCTCTCGGCAGCAGCGTTGTGAGGACTTAGCTGGGACCTGGAATTGTACCCTCCTGTATTTTTTCAGACTCCTTGGAAATTAAGGAATGCAATTCTGCCACCATGATGGAAGGTAGGATGCTTTCTGCTGTGGTTGACTGGCTTCAGGCAAGGTTTGGGCAGAACAGCGTTGCAGAATGTGTGCAGCCCCTGTTTGTGGCTGGTCTAGAACCTGGTTGCTGGGATTTGCAAGCAGAAATGCTGCGGGTTGCTTGCAGCAGACCAGGGCTCAGACTAATGGAATCAAACCACAGGGCTTCTGTGTAGCTCAGAAGCTGCAGAGCTCCCAGCTCCTTTGAGAGAGAAAAACCTAAAGTGCTTGCAGGGAGCTGAGAGAGAGCCAGGAAACAGCTTGCAGAGCAAATAAGTTGGGAGAGAAGATAAGGTTTTCTGCTCTGGGTTCCTGGGACTACACTGATTAAACATTTACAATGGAAACTTGTTTTCTGAAATTGACATTAGACAGGAGAGGTCATTGACAGAGTTATCCATGTTGTCACTTTCAGTGAACTGTTCAAAAATTTTAACAATTCTTGTAAGATATTTTTACCTTTGCAATTTATATCTTATTCTTGGGATGAGAGGTGCAGCAAATTTGGTCCCTATAGTTTTATGGGGATGTCATTGCAACAGAATGAGCAATATGAGGAAAATATCCGGGCCTCTTGGCTCCTGATTCAGGGTCTTATCAGGTTAAAAAAAGAAATTTTGTGCTTCCTAAATGCATTCCCCATGCAATGGGTCTTAGCCAAGCATTGAATGATTACTTACTGATTACCTTTTTGCATTCAATAGTAAATGTAATGAGGAACTTTCCCTGGGGAGATGTTGTTTAAACTACATTTTATTCTACTAAATTACCCTTCCAAGCCTGAGATAGTGACAGCCAAGATTGCCTCAAAAAAGCAGCAGGCTGATTAAGAAAGGAGCAGGCGGCCCTACCCTTATCTTCTGTTTTTACACTACAGGATGGTGCAAAACTCCTGGCCTTTCCTAAGATGACAGGCAGAAATTTGTCCCCAGCCTGGATTTCGCGATGCAGAATCGAGTGCATAATGGGTCTCAAATCAGCCATGAAAATGGCAGAGAGGCCACCTCTTAAGCCCCAGTTCTGTCCTATAGATTTTAAACATTTACCAAAATGGAATATGAGAAGGAAGGTTTCAAAAAAACAGCAGTGTACATGTTTGGCAGAAATGAATTCTTTTCGCTCTCTCTGTCATCATGTCAAACATTGTTAATGGGATTTGGGGGAGTGAAGAATTCTACAGTCGTGGCCCACAGATTTTAGAAAATAACCTTAAAAGAGAGATCGGGTAGCATTTTGTTATGGAGCCTGGTCTTGTTTGCAAAGGGCTCTCAAGCTAGTTCCTTAAGTGTAGGCCTAAATAAACTGAAATTACTAACACTCTAAGATTAAATCATTTTTATTAATTCAAAATGGATTTAATCTTTGAATAACAGGTAAGCCAAACAGAAAGAGTTACTGATGTACTTTTCAATTAAAGGCTCATGTGGATTACTTTCTTCAGGAAAAAAAAAAGATCTATAGAGGTACTGTGTTTTTCCAGCTAAATTTCATGTAGTGTTTCTTAAAAATAAATCTTCCCTGATTCTAATTAGATTTTAATTTTACACAGGAAAGTGGAAGATCTTTCATTTTGCTTCTTGTCTTGCAAACTATGGAGTTCAAGTGTCTTCTCTGAAGGAAGTATATTTATTGAAGCTCGTTAATGCTTCTCCTGGTAATATTGCTTATTGTGCTGTCCCAGAATGTCAGTTCTAAGCCCTGTGATGAGCTTATCTGAGCTGCCTAAACCGAAACGAGAACTGTAACAAAGACTTGTGTTGGACCTGAATTAGCGCTATTGCTCAGGGTTTGCCAGTTCTACTTAATGAAGGATATTATCTTAGCACTGTTACGAATTAGAGGTGACACTGTGGATCCAGTTGCCTTACATCAGATCTTTGTAAAAGAAGGTGGACAGGTGTTCCCATTGGCCTAAAAATTTAAATGAAACTAACAATTTTTTATCTACCCATAGTTCCTACTTAAATGCTTTTCAAGACATTATCTTAACGGTTCGGTGACCTTAGAAAGGCAGGTGGGAACCTTAAGCAGAAATCAGTTTCCCTAGCAATGGCCTTCCAACTTAGAAGCTGGTCTTTGGGGCAATATATGCATATTTCTGATATTGCATCCGGAATTTCACCTCTGAATTGCTCTTGCTCTGAAGGTTTGGCCTAGCAGTTATTATTTCCACTTAACTCATCCCTAGAGGAAGCTAGGCTGTTATATCTGTCATGACAACCTTGGAAAGATAAGGAACCCCCTAAAAGGCATCCTAAAATCTTGTCATGGCAGCCTTCTGCTGAAATCAGTGAGCTCCGAGAAGGTGTTACCAAACATCTAGATAGTTAAAATGATGTCTCTTCTCAACTAGTACATGTGGCACACACACACAGTTACACACGCGTGCAGTCATCCCCATATGTACTGTTCTAGAACGAGAGAGAACCTATATTAGCGTTCATGTGTGTATATATTTCTATATTCACCAAAATGTTTTAGTCTGCTGCTCAGGAAAGCATGGCCATGGCAACTTTTCAAAGCTACTTCTCTACCTTGTGTAAAACAAGAGTAAACAAACATTCATCAGAATGGCTCATAGTTTAGTTTGTGTTCTCGTTTTGATGGAACAGGATGTTCGTTCAATGCCTATTGGAAATCCTGGTCATAGATGGAGAATGTTACTGCCTCCCCAGTGATTCCAATATCATAGAAGGCAGTGAAATAATTCTGCAGGGACTTCAAGCAGGTAGCCACTATTTTGTGGCTCCATGGTTCATTTCAGATATTTTTATTTAAAAATATATATTTTAAGGGACTTGATTCATTGATTCCTGCATTCTTTATTTTTTTGGCAGTGGTTAGTATTGAATTGTGTCTTTCCTAAAGAGTGCCACGTGATATGGAGCCTTATGCAGTATGAACATGAAGGAAAGAGGACAAGCAAAGGGAATTGTTTGCTAAAGAGTGTGTGCATTGGGTAAGCTTTCAATGCAGTCTATGTGATTAGGGCAACTATTCAAGGATTCTGTTGTTTTTCACATATTATTTTTAAAGTTTGAAAGTGGCATTTTAGCCACCCCTTCTAAGATCAGTGAAACTAAGTCAGGGCTTTTTAGGATATCTGTTTATTTGTAAGGCAGTCTGGGAAGTTTTCCCTTGTTCGTACAGAATGAGACTGAAAGTGCTTCTGTTTTTAGTGCCATATTCAGGCTCTTAGGCACTGTACTGGAAAGATAAGTTTTTGGGTGCCAATAGTTGCATCCTATATAACAATTTTTAAAATTAACACACGTAGTTTTAAGGGTTTACTGGGTTTGATTGCAATGTGCAGGGTGATTTAATAACTTTTATTCTATTTTCTATTCACAATCAACTGATTGTGTACATCAGTGTGTTCTGCATGGAGTGCTTTTGTAGTATTTTTTCTAAATTGCAAAAATAAAAAATAATACATTGAGGTGGAAAAATGGTGGAATGGAATTTGAACCCAAGTTCATTTAAGAACAGAGCTCATATTTTTGTTCCCTTATAACACTTTAAATAGGCACCTTTTCTTTGTACTTTGTGTCAAGGTGGGCATGTTAACCTAACTGAAAACTAGGACTTAGTTTCTTTGATGGTATATTCTGTCTCTCTGTCTTTTGAATATGAGTACTCATAGAACCATACCTTTTAATTCCTTGTTAATGCCTTTTACTTCTAAAAGCATTACTTAGAAAATTTTGAACAATTCTAAGTTAACTGACCTTCTGTTGTTACAATGAACCTTATAATAGTAAAGGCTTTTTTTTTTTTTTCCTATCTAGAAATGGAGTTTTATTTATTTGGAAAATTCCTTGATGTGACCAAAAAAGAACAAAGCATTTTGAAGCTGGAATTGTTCGTTTTTTAGTTAGCTAGGAAGTTTTAAATGGAATGCTTCTGACTCTTCTACCCATTCTCTTCCCAGAAATGGTGAAGTTATTTTGGAAAATCTTAAGCATGCATGTGAGATTCTAATGTATGTTCTGTCACTTATGTAATTTCTCTCCTCCTCGAGACTCTGTGTCAGAAAGAGCTCCTGATATGTATAAGTTCCCATCCAATTCCAGGGGTCAACTTTCAATCTCCAAAAAGAATATGTAGTCTTTAAAAAAATTAACTTAGATAAACCATACAAGAAGACTCTGGGTAATTCTTTCTGCTGAATTTGGCACATACACCATCCATGTTTCAAATAAACAAGTTGCAGGAAGTCACCAACTCACAACTTTTATGTTCCTGGAAGTTCATTTGTGAATTTCTCACTTGAAACAAGTTTTCCCATAGGAATAATGATGTACATGCTGGTTAGATTCTCATACTAGTCCTTCAAAGACTATTAACCCATTATCTAGTTGAAATATTAAATATTTGCTATGAAATGTGTAAAGAACAGTACGGTTACTGTAGCAATTAGCCAGAAGAGAACGTCATTAAATGTGTTTTCAATTTTAATTGCTGCTATTTGAGGGAAAGAAAGTTTCATTAGAAGACAATGAGGAGACAGAAAATTTGAAGGGAATTTTTAGGGATATTCTCGGAAGTTTTAGAGACTCATGACACTAGATTTTTCAATTATGTTCAATTTTGCTTCCATATCTGTCATTTACCTTCTCTCGATTCAATTTTATCATATCTACTGCTGTTAAATCATGATTACTTTCATTATGTAAACTCACAAATGGAATTAAGAAAGGGGGAAAGAATTTCCTGAGATGACTGTAAAGGAGTTGGAAGGGAGAAAAAGGTTAAGGGATTATAATGGATTTGACCTCTGTGTCTAAAAAAGTCTCTGAGAAGACATTCAGTGAATAAGGAAGGGGTCATAGAGTAAAGGGAATTGGGGAGCATGGTAAGGGCAGGATCCTCTTAAGGAGAAAGTAAGGTGTGGGGCAGAGGTATGGGATCTAACCAGTTTATAGCTGACTACCAAATGCTTCTGTGGGCTCAGGGTGACTTGCCTACTGGTGACAGAGTCT